GTGTCATTAAATTATAATCTTTAATTATAATCTTATAGTTTCAGCACTAATTTAAAAACTTAATTTTAATTTTTAAGGCTGTAGCAGGCAGCACCTTGTCAACTTGCCTGTCGTAAAGGTTGATCGCGAGATTTGCTTTATGGTTCTTATTATCATTTCTGATCATAATAGCTAAGCAACCAATAGTATTTAGCATCTCGACATATTACTTTCCTTCTGAAACAAGCACAAACGCTGTTCCGCTCTAGAGTGTTTTCCACGCCCCATGATACCGGCACTAAATGACCAAAAACAAAACTTAAAAGCTTGAAACCGTTCAATAAACTATTCAAGTATTGTTTAACAATGAAAGCCTTGCTAAAAATGAAGTAGATTTAATAATTTTCAAAACTTTCTGTAGCACTACTATTATTTTGACCGCATTAAACTGTAATGTAGATATTTAGCGAAAAATGTCGAAATTTATCGGAAAGAAAAGGGAAACGCTACTATAACTTTATATTCTATTGTTGAAGAAATAGAAAAAAAGGCAATATGTAAACCCAATAGTAGCACTACTATTAATTGACCGCAACTGTATCAACAAAATACATAATGTTATAAAGAAAATTTTACCACCTTTCAACGGATATTTGATTCGTGGTGATAAATTGGATACCTGAAGATATAGTGAATCAAAATTGAAGTGTTTTTTGCATTTTTACAGTTTCTGCAACTTAAGCCTTTTAGAAAAAATTGTTCGTATAGTACCGTTTTATTTTCAGAAATGAACTTTTTAAGCCACTAATAAATACAATTTTTCAAAGAATGCCAATGGTAATTGAATTCCCGCCATCGGCTTAAAGATAGCTAACATGAGTGTCTTTTGCTTTGCCATTCTGAAAAGCTTATAATGATTTGCCATTCTGAAAAGCTAATAAATTCAGCAATAAATTGGACCTGAAGACTTTGAAGCGTTCGCTTACCATCTAGGAAATAAAGCTTAATATGAACTACTGATTTTTTTTTAATTGACTTAAGAAAGTCCCGACGGTAACACTAGTCAACACGAGAATTAGGCTGTGGCCCAAAATAACTTTTTCTTATAAATTTCGGGGTTTAAAATTTTTAACGAATTATGGTTTTTTTTTATGGTGTAGTTTTTTTTTTAAGAATTTTTTAAAATTTGGTATTTTTTAATGTTTTTTTCATAGGTAGTGCTTCTATTTTTCACATTACTTAAGTATCTTATATCTGGTTGCATAGAACTTTGCAGTTCTGAAATGCTGACAAATGCAACTATAAATCAGAGCCAGACCTTTTGAATCTGCAGCTTAACGCCTGAAAGATATTAAGCTTTCAAATTCGAATTTAATCATTTTTTGCGGTATTTTTTTTCGAAATTTTGACTTTAAAAACTCGGAAAGAGTCGAAAAAAAATAATTCTTGCCCATCATTTTTAGTTTTAGATATACGCATTAATTAGGCGTCGTTTAAGGTATTGCTCATTAAAATTTATGGATAAGCCATTATGTCTGCAAGCCTGAGCATTTTTGATTTGGAGTAGTATCATTTTAAACAAGTGAGACAGCTATTAATAGCACTATCCGACACCATTTTTTCGCTGCTAACCAAACAAACTTTTTTTGATAGATTTCAGGCTTTAAACGCGCTTAATGATAATTTTTTTTTCAATGGCCGAACTTTTTTTTAAGTATTAAAAAAAAATGGTATCAACGTTCCGAACGGTAAAATGTGATCAGACTTCCTCCATAGCTTTTAAAGAACAATACCTTAAACGACGCCTAATTAATGCACCTATACACAAAAAATATAAGGATAAAGCAAAGTAGCACCAAAGTGTTCAGGTCTACTTTATAGATGCATTTATCAGCTTTTTAGAATGGAAAAGTTCCGTACAAGATATGGCGTATGTTGGCGTATTTGATATATTCTTCGTGTCACTGTTCGACGAGAAAGAGGTATTTGTTGCACAATTTGGCTCATTTCCACACCTTTCTCATCTAGGCACTTCAACATATCCATGCAGGTAGATTAAAAAAACTCTCCGTCCAATAAACATTTTTGAGCTTTGGCTCCGCTTTTAGAACTCAATTAAATGTTCCCAATTGGCAGTTGGGCCCGCAACCTTCCAAAAGGTATTTTTTGTTAAATTTTTTCATTTTTTAGGTTTGGTTAACGAATTTTAGCCCCAAAGTCTCTCCATAGATTTTAATAAACAACACCTTAAACGACGCCAAATTAATGCACTTATATACAAAAAAAATAGAGGATATAATTTTTTTTCGACTTTTCCTAAGTTTTTAAAGCCAAAAGTTCGTAAAAATACCGCACAAAAATCATCATTTTTGCATTTCAATGCTTCAGATTTCCCAGACGGTAAGCTGAAATCACAAAGTGTTTCGGCTTAACTTCTAGCTGTTTTAATTATCTTTTCAAAATAGCAAAGTTCTTTTTACAGCCAGACGTAAGATACTAGAGTTATGTGAAAAAAACAAGCGCTACCTCTGAAAAAAGCATTAAAAAAAATACCAGTTTTCAAAAATTCTTTAAAAAAAGTTCTGCATAGAAAAAAAAAATATCAAATCTTTAAGAAAAAGTTCGTTTTGTTCCTTGAGGAAAAATCGTGTTGACTAGTGTTATTCGTACGGTGCGTTAAATATTTGCTGTTTTGAATAAAAACATAATTTTTTTTAATATTAATATTGTGTAACATCTCCTTTGGCCTCTACAACACATTTACAACTCTTTGGCATAGATTTTAATAAATTCTGGCATTGTTCTTTTGAAATAGAGTCCCACATCCCACATCTCTTGCAGTTTTATTTTTAGGTCAGAAAGTGTTCTTTGAGGCTCATTTTTTAGGTTTCTTTTTATTATGCCCCATATACTCTCGATTGGGCTTAGGTCTGGGCTATTTGATGGCCAATCTTAGACCCCAATTTCCTTATACTGCAGCCATGATTTGGTTCTGCTGAAATGTATATTTACCACAGTCAGCCAGTTTTGGTATTGATGGCAGCAAACTTTCCTCTAATATGTTAACGTATTTTCCGCGTTAACTATCTCAATAAAGTGCAGTTGTCCTACCCCTTTGGCAGACATACAACCCCACACCATTATGCTTACAGGGAACTTAACTGTCCTTTTCAGGCAGTCTTTATGGTACGCTTCAGTTTTGTTACGGATGATTCTCCTTCGCGCATCACCGACACACACATCAAATTTAGATTCATCGCTAAATATGATGGTGTTCCATTGCCTTTGAGTCCAAGACATTCGTTTCCGAGACCATTGTAAACGCTTCTTCTTTTGACGAAGCGTAAGCAATGGTTTTTCCTTGGCCTAAGAGTAAGCTAAGCTATTGAGTATGTAACATATATAATCACTATACATACTTTATAGAACTTATATCCAATATCTCGCAACTGCAGGCGCGTCCATTCACGCTTCACACTTTTTCCGATTTTATCAGACCAATCGGAGGCTAAATTTCTCAAATTTTGTTGACGATCAGACCTCACAATTGTGGCCAGGGTTCTTTTGTCCCGAGATGTTATTGCCGATTTTCGGCCTCTATTTGCGATATTATTTTCAATATTGCCATTTTTCTTAAAATTGTTTACAATGCCTTGAACGGACGACTTAGCCAGATTTAATTGCTTGGCTATTTCACCAAAAGTGTTCCCCGATTTATAATAATCAATAACTAAACTTCCTCTTTCGTTGCAAATCGGCTTACCACGTGCCATCGTTGCTAAACTTTGACTAATTTGAAGCAATTACACATTTCTTACATTCTGCATTGTATGACTGATTCCAGATTATGACTAGATAGTGATTATGTTACGCTGTTTGCTTTTGTTTTGATCTTCTTTCAATTCTAAGCTAAGCTAACGCACCGTACGAATAATTAGTGGTCATATTTTCTTATCAGTTAAGCAAAGCATTCAAAGAAATGTTTGTTATTGTTGTTGTTGTTGAAGTACAACAAAACTTTTTATACCCGTACTCAAAAAAGAGTTAAGGGGTATATTAGATTTGTGGTAAAAGTGGATGTGTGCAACGCAGAGAAGGAACCGTTTCGACCCCATAAATTATATATATTTTTGATCAGCATCAATAGCCGAGTCGATATAGCCATGTCTGTCAGTCCGTCCGTCCGTCCGTCTTGTTGAGCGCCTGGATCTCAGAGACTATAAGAGTTAGGGTAACCAAATTTGGTTTCCAGACTCATGTGATATAACACTGCTACAAGTGTATTTCAAAATTTCGCCCCGCCCCTTCCGCCCAAACAAAGGACGAAAATCTGTGGCAGGCACAATTTTAAAGATACAATAAAACTAAAAACGCAGTATCGTAGAGAATGCCCATATCTACCAGATTGCCAAATCGGAATCAGATCGGATCATAATTATAGCCAGAATGAAGAAATTAATTTTATGTTGCTTCCCCTCCCCCTCCCGCCCACGACAACGCAACTCATTTTCCTTCTCGCTCTCACACTGCCGCGTTCAGTGCGCGAGCAACCCCTAGCGGAGGAGATGTAGAATATGAATGGAACATGTACAATCTACATGTTAGATGTAGAATAGACATTGTATATGTAGATGTAGATAGCAGATGCTATCGAAAAAAAATTTAAAATTTTTTTTACACTGTATATACTGACTGAGTACGGGTATAAGTAGAGTCGTGTCCCCAGAAACGACTCACACGTTCCTTCTCGTTTTTTTTTTGTGTGCCTGCGCAGTGGCTCTTCCCGTTAGATCTCGTGCCCATGGCTGCTTTAAAAGCTTTTTAATATCTACAGGTATGTATATTCTTTACAGAAAGTCAAATTAGTGTGTGCTTCAGCACACGAAATGAGATACTGATTCTATCTTAAATGTTTAACTAGAATTTCTACGGCTTTAGGTAATCCAGAGTTAAGTAATTGGTAAAAATACTGTTTAACAGGTTACAAAAAGTTAATGGGCACATTGTGTTAAAATACAAACCCTCGCCAATCGCCACATTGCCTTGGTAGCGTGAGCCTCACCAAAGTCCCTCAGTAGTAAGTAAAAGATGCATTGCTTTGTACCCGAGCCCATTGTTGCCTTATCCATTACACCACACATCAGCTCAGAATTTCGGATGTGAATCCCTAAAAGCAAAGCACAAAAAGTTGACTTTAGTTGTAAGTTCATTTGTGAGATGAGGTATAACAAAAAGTAACATACAAGAGTCATTGTTACATAGATCCATGTTTTTTGTATAGTTTCGGCCCTTGTTCACCATATTGAGGCGAATATGCGAGTCACTGTTTGGGCGAATGAGCAAACTGAATATTTGTTTTCCCGTCCAGAGTCGTCGTGGTTTAAGAAGAGCAGGAGTCGGTATCTGAATGTTCATGGTAGAGTCCTCGTTGGCTAAAAAGCATGCAGCTAACTGCATGGCTTCTTCTTTGGTGAGAAAAACCTCTTTTTGTGTAAGCAGATATCCACCGGTTATAAAGTCCTGCGTGGCCGCAATCAAAATCTCGCCATTTTTGGGCGTAACCAAGTTTGACTGATTGCCCATAAGAATTAACGCCTCGGCTCTGGCTTCCTCCGTCTGTGGCAAGTGGAGATTCATCTCATCACCGTCGAAGTCTGCGTTGTATGGTGTACAGGTGCACTCATTAAAGCGAAATGTTCGTTGCGGTTGTACTTTGGCACGATGACACATAATTGACATTTTGTGGAGCGATGGCTGGCGATTAAATAGAACGATATCGTTATCGCAAAGATGCCGCTCTACAATATCCCCACATTTAAGCTCCTGCGCAACCTTTTCACGATTGCCATATGCCAGGTACTTTTTGAAACTTGAGCCCCGCTGCTGAACGTAGTTGGCCCCAGGGTGCGTGCAAGGCCCATTGCGTACCAGTTGCTTCATGTGACGAATGTTTGCGAGATTTACACGTTCCGGGTATGTAAGAATCTTAGCCACACGCACTGGCACTCCAACCTGATTTATCATCAAGTTGGGGTCCGGCGAAATGACGGTACGGCCGCTGAAGTCTACACGTTTGCCAGATAGGTTGCATCGGAATCGTCCCTGTTTTCCTTTCAAACGCTGAACAATGCCCCGTGTAGTTTTCTTTGGTGCCATGTTTATTGGTATTCCACTGATCTCGCTATGGAAGTAAAGTGCCACATGCAGTTGCAAAAAGTCCCAGTCTTCATATATAAGCTCTATTTTTCCACCGGTAGCCATGTGACGCTGGATCACATCATTAATTAGCAAGATCTCGCTCTGTTTCATAGTCAAATCATCTTCTGTAGTGCCGGCCTTTACTTCTGATAATACCGATGGACGAATGCAGGCAGGAGGCACAAATACACGCGTCACAATTAGATGCTTTGGATGGGCACCGCGAGAGCACATTCCTAATAAGGCTACATCACTCTGTGGGATCTGTTCAAAAAGGTCTAGCACCATTAATGGAGTGAGCTCCTCAGCCGTGCTGTAATTGCTGAGCGTAAGATTAAGGTCGCGATTAAACTCTGTCGAGCGAAGCATTTCATCCATGTTGCTTGTAAAAAGAGAATCTACCTTGCGCCCTTTGTATGGATCATACAGAATTTTCAGAAGCCCGGGACCCTTCTTTACGCCACCATTCGCCGTTCCACAGTGTGGGCATTTTGTGACTTTCTTGGCTTTGGCCAACATCTGCGCATGCAAAGCCTTTTTTCCCAGATATGAGAAATTTGGGTTATGTAGTTTTTTCTCAAATAAGAGTCGGTCCTCTAACTTAAGCATCACTTGGGCACACGACTTGCATATCATCTGTAGAATATTAATTGTGGCACGGAAGTGGCCTATGTGGAAAACGGGGAGCGCTAAGTCTAGATAGCCAAAATGTCCGATGCACTCATTCAGACCATGACCACATGTTTCACATATAGCATCTTTTGTGCTAATGCCCATTCGGCGATCCAGAACGCCAGAAGGCACCGGTTGTCGCTGTCCCTGATATAGGTTTTTTGAAGTGATCCTCACCAGCGATTCCTGCTGAATCTCATCGGCGCCACTGATTCCAAACTGGACATGTGAACTGCGGAAACGGTGACTTTAACCATTAATAATGTAAGGTGGGGACACTTACATTTTTTTGTTCAACGCCGAGGCACGAAACTGTTCCTTGGGCATATTTTTTGGGAATAAAATATATTAGATAGGTGTGAATATATATTAATTGTAAAACTTAGGGCTGCACAACCATATCGATAGTATCGATATTTTCTAATTTAAGGATAGGTATGGATTTTTTTTTCGTCCGTCGATATATCGCTCAGACTAGTACTTAAGCCCAGTAATCTGACTAGCAAAATTTGTTGTTAACAACATGTGCCATATTTTTCGCTCAAGGAAGACTTGACCAGTTGTGTATGCTTTACGGTTATACATTTTTTGTTTGCTTAAGCCTAGTACTCACATCCAAAAACTGTTTGTTAGCAAACAAATGTCATATATTCTTCTAGCTGCCAGTGGTGTGACCAGAGGTGTGCACTGCATTCCGTACGGTTACACTGCTCAGACCGCTGCTTGGTTTTGTTTAAAGTTAAAAAATGCAATTATTCGGTTGGGGTAGCTCTTCCCCAGGCATATCCTGGGCTCCCCAATATTTTATTCGCAAGCTAATGTGTCTGACTATCAGCAGCAGCAGATGGCGACGCCTCCCGTGCCGACCACCATGAAGAAAAATATTTTTTAAACAATATTTTTTTTATATTCATGAAAATTAATGAAACTAATATATATCATAATATCCATATAATTGTCCTTCATATAATGCTGCATTTATTAGATTCTATTTGTCTTCATTATTAAAATATTTCATTCGGGATTTAAAAATTTGTGGAGTACTTTATTTTTTTTTATGGTGTAATTTTTTTTTAAGAATTTTTAAAATCTGTTATTTTTTTCATGGTATTTTTTCAGAGGTAGTCCTGCTTCTATTTTTCATAAAACTTAAGTATCTTATATCTGGTTGCATAGAACTTTGCACTTTTCTGAAAAGCTGACAAATATAGCTATAAATCCGATCCAGACCCTTTGCATCTGCAGCCTAACGCCTGAAAGATATTAAGCTTTCAAATTCAAATTTCATCATATGTTGCGGTATTTTTTTTTTCCAAATTTTGACTTTAAAAACTCGGGAAACGTGGAAAAAAAAGTTCTTAGCCAATATTTTTAGTTTTAGATAGACGCATTAATTAGGCGTCGTTTAAGGTATTGCTCATTAAAATCTATGGATATATGGTTAACTTGCAGCCGTTTGACCAAAACGACTCAAAACTAATTTTATCTGAAAAATACCGTTGCTGGTCCAATGCCAAAGGAACACGTTCACGTACCAAAAATCCAACCCCTTTTCGTTTGCTTTGTTTCCAAATTGGCAGTTGGGCCCGCAACTATCCAAAAAGTATTTTTTGTCTAATTTTTCACTCTTGAGGTTTGGTTAACGAATTTTAGCTCCACCGTTTATCCATAGATTTTAATGAACAATACCTTAAACGACGCCTAATTAATGCATCTATCTATAACTAAAAATGCACGCCAAGAATTGTTTTTTCTCTCGACTTTTCCCGAGTTTTTAAAGTCAAAATATCGGGAAAGAATACCGCAAAAAAATGATTAAATAGAAGCACTACCTCTGAAAAAAAACATTAAAAAAATACCAGATTTTAAAAAATTCTTTAAAAAAAACTACACCATAAAAAAAAACCATAATTCGTTAAAAAATTTTAAGCCCCGAAATCTATAAGAAAAAGTTATTTTGAGCCACAGCTAATTCTAGTGTTGACTATTGTAATTAAACATTGTTATAAATTTGCGAGAAAAAAAAAAGAACAATGTTTGAGATGCCAAGCTTTTTTGGCACCTATATATTTCCAAATGAATTAAAACAACTAGATTCGAAACGCCTGTTTAATTATACAGGCGGCTAGTGGAAGCCGATTGCTCGATACATTAATATTATAAAATCGACACTTAAATAGTCGCTGGACCGAACAATACCCCTCAACTCTTTTTGAGTACAGGTGTAAAAATATGAAAGGAAATCATGAAAAATAACGAAAAACTGCTGGCATAAAGAACAAAAAAGATTACACGTTTTAACATTAATCATCGTAATCAGAATCGCAATGCTTGCATTTGAAGAAGCTGCCATGAATATCAGAGCACTTTAAATGCTCTACATTCATTGCATTTAATGGAGTTTGTGGCGGTCCATTTCCTTAGCAGAAGGTGCATACAGATGATACAAAAGTCGTTATCATCGTCAGATGATAGAGCCTTGTAGCGCTTGCTGATGGCTTAGATGGAGTTTCTTTGGTGCCCTTAGTGGATGGTTTGGCTAGTGCTGCCACGTTGTTGCTGCCACGCTTTTTCTGGGAAGAACCAGATGCCTACATATTTTGTATCTTAGCGTCTGTTGAGCTTTTGAGCATTTTCAATGGATTTTCGGGAAAGGGCAAACAACTCAAGAGCGCAGAGACAGGTAGGCAATGATGTGCGTAAGAGATTAGTTCTGCTCTCTTTGCGTTGCCACGGGCCAGCGCTTAGCCGAACAGCATATTTCTTAGCTGCTTTTCCCTTTAAAGAAACACGGCATTCAGGAGAAGTAAGCACGGATCTTTCCATTGGCTTTCTACCACGATTCGAATGCTTCTGTGGTGTAGCCGTTTGCAGAGGACCAATTTCTTCCAAGGTGATAGGCAGCTTGTTGAAGATGCACAGTGGTCTAAATGTTATTTATTTGTACTACATTACCATTAACAATGATAGTATAGTTTCTCAACCAAAAACACGCATTAAGCATAGTATCCAGCACCGCGGAATCTAAAAATTCCTGTCAAACTTCATATAAAACGAGAAGGAACGTGTGAGTCGCTTCTGGGGACGCGACTCTACTTATACCCGTACTCAGTCAGTATATACATTTTTGAGCATATAATTATTTAGAATTAAAAAAAAAAAAAACATTTGACATTTTACATTTTTTTGCTACATCTGTTATCTACATCTACATATACTATGTATATTATACATCTAACATGTATATTATACATGTACCAAACATATTCTATATCTCCTCCGCTAGGGGTTGCTCGCGCACTGAACGCGGCAGAGTGTGCGAGCGAGAAGGAAAATGAGTTGTGTTGTCGTGGGCGGGAGGGGGAGGGGAAGCAACTGAAAATTAATTTCTTCATTTTGGCTATAATTATGATCCGATCTGATTCAGATTCGGCAGTCTGGTAGATATGGACATTCTCTACGATACTGCGTTTTTAGTTTTATCGTATCTTTAAAATTGTGCCTGCCACAGATTTTCGTCCTTTGTGGGGGCGGAAGGGGGCGGGGCGAAATTTTGAAATACACTTGTAGCAGTGGGATATCACATGAGTCTGGAAACCAAATTTGGTTGCCCTAGCTCTTATAGTCTCTGAGATCTAGGCGCTCAACAAGACAGACAGACGGACAGACGGACTGACAGACATGGCTATATCGACTCGGCTATTGATGCTGATCAAAAATATATATAATTTATGGGGTCGGAAACGTTTCCTTCTCTGCGTTACACACATCCACTTTTACCACAAATCTAATATACCCCTTAACTCTTTTTTGAGTACGGGTATAAGAAACTGTGCCAGAAAAACCTCTTTTACGTTTTCCTGGAGTGTGTATCCAGCAACACGACCGGAATCCACAGATTTATATCGATAGTTGCCTATCGGGACCGTGTGTGAACTGAGAGAACAGCTGACACCCAGCTCAGGAATATATACTTTACAATTCTTCCTGAAGTGAATGGTGCAAGATGTAGGCAAAAACTGTCTGCAAAACCAAAAAGAGAGATGAAAATTATTCTTTTTTGTTTTGCAACAATATATGCCGCCACCAACACAATCACTTCATCATTTTTTTTCCTTTTTTAGCAGAATTTTACAGTTGCCTCTGTTTACAAAACACAGCTGATTCATCAACCCGGTTTTAGCTATGTTCCACACCGTCACGGAATAACTAGCAAATTCCTTGCCGCAATTTTCCGCGGTGCTTGAGACAGGCCTTTAAGGCCTCTAAACTCTAAAATTTAAAGTTGTTATTTGTTTGTACTGTGTGTATTTACAGTGGGGACTCAGCCGAAAAGAGGTGGCAAAACTAAAAAATATTTTATGAGCGCTTTGAATAAAATAAATGTACACATCTAGTAGAACATTTTCCAGAGCTTTAGCGAATCTAATTTTCAAGATAATTTTAGCTTAGGAGTTATGAGAAGAGATATCATCCTTTATTTTTATATATTGTATATATTTCCCAACCCCACCCACTCTGCCCAATCATCATTTATGTTGCGGCAGGTCAGCTCAGGTCGCTACATCAGCCCTCAAAACAAAACGAAAAACCGAAATTCAGTTCAAGCGGAAAAAATTGTAGTGCCCACACAAAAGCATAGTATGGGTGAATGGAACATGGCACACAAACATTTACGTAACCTGGAAACGAAACTCAAAACAAACTCAAATCGGTTTCGGAAAATAAGAATTGATAAATAATTTGTCGTGTCTGTTTACACACGCAAAAGTGAGTACAAGTTAACAAGAGTTAACTGAATTGTCCACTGGGTGGGACGAATTCTGCAGTATTGCAAAATAAGCAGTTTCGTCACCCGTGGGATCGCCGTCGTCGCGATCGCCGGATGCTGGCCGCATCCGGCACGAGGCGCAAGGTCAGCACTTTGGAAGGCAGCTAAGGGTTCGAGGTTGGGGAGTTTAGAGTTTTAAGTTTGGTCTATAATAGTTAGCCGAGTGGCGAAGACATGCAACGTCTCGCCTTGCAACGTTAAATAAAGAACAGTTTATAATACCCGTGAATGCATTTAAACATTACTGGCGCCCAACGCGATCGAACAACCACCCCCGAGGGAGTAAATTAGTGCGGAGACAACGCCCGCTAAGCGAAAATCGGTGAAAAGTGCAGAAAAAATAAACCAAAAGACCAAAGAACATCGAGTGCGGAGACAAAGCCCGCTCGAGAACAAATAAAAATAAAAGGCATTTAATCAACCCCAAGCTGTTACACCAGAGCGGACAACAACAACGGCGGGCAACAACAACGAGATCTGTGTTTGAGGGAACTTGAATTTGATTCCAGAAGAGAATAAGCTGTAACAACGGCCCGGCAGAGCTGGATCTGACCTACGACAAA